TTTTGGTGAAAGATGGGATCCTATATCGCCGTAACCTTGATTCCTTCGGATCAGACTTACTTCCTGTCATCCCAGCGCACCTGCGTTCCACTGTCCTGCATCAACTTCATGACGCACCCTGGACGGGCCATTTGGGCGTTTCTCGCACATACGATCGGGTACGACGTCGGTTTTTTTAGCCTGGACTTGCTTGCTCTGTTCGACGCTATGTCGCCGCTTGTGAGCCCTGTCAGCGTCGCAAAACGCCGATTGCCCTCCCAGCCGGCTACCTTCAGCCGATCGACGTTCCCAACGAGCCTTTCTTTCGAGTTGGTCTCGACCTGTTGGGCCCTTTTCCACTCTCCACAGCTGGAAATAAACGGATTGCTGTTGCCACGGACTACGCGACACGGTACGCAATCACACGAGCACTCCCGACCAGCTGCGCTACCAACGTTGCAGACTTTCTGCTGTACGACATAATATTAGTGCACGGTGCTCCCCTTCAACTTCTCACCGATCGTGGCCGCACGTTCTTATCAGCTGTCGTTCATGAAATCCTGAGGTCTTGCTATACCAAGCACAAATTTACTACTTCATACCATCCCCAGTCAAATGGCCTCACGGAGAGCCTTAACAGGACCCTAACCGATATGCTTGCCAAATACATTGCGCCAGACCACCAGGATTTAGACATTCATTTGCCGTATGTGATGTTCGCCTTCAATTCATCTCGTCACAACACCGCCGGCTATTTGCCCATGTATCTACTATATGGCCAGGACCCAACTCTACCCTTAGACACTTTACTACCTGCGGCCACTAAATATGCTGCGGAAGCCATTGCCCGCGCCGACCACGCGCGCCAAGTCGCCCATAACTGTCTACAGGCTTCACAGACGCGCCAACAACAGCTCTACAATTCTCATCATAGAGACGTGCACTTTTCTCCGGGTTCTCTCGTGCTCCTCTGGTCACCTACTCGGCGTGTGGGACTGTCTGAAAAACTGTTGTCGCCCTACACTGGACCATTCCGTATCGTTCGCCAAGTGACAGACGTCATGTACGAGATTGTTCCAACCGACCCAACAAAGTCATCGTCAGCTCCGAGCGACACCATTCATGTGGCTCGGCTAAAGCCCTATTACCCACCTTCGACATCATCTGCGTAAATTTAGCATTGGGACGGTGCTTCTACCACCGGGGGTTATGATACATAACAGCCGCTAAACACGGCTGCATGAAAGAGGAGGACGAAGTGAGTTTTTTTTTTATGCTGGTCTGGCGCCACCTTGCTCGTCAAGTTCTGTGCGCTGTAAATAGATCATTAAACAAGTTACTCGTAACAATATAAAGGGGGTTCGTGCGTGATGCAGCACAAGGGTCGCCCTTCCGGCGCACCCGTTGTGTTCAGTTTCGGTTTCTCTGTTATCGCGGTATTCGCCTGTGTATTCCTGAAACTATGCGCAACATTTTCAATTTTTAAAAGGGCTCGCCATAATTTGTGACATTGAATAACTTCGCCATAGAAACAACTGCCCTGAAGTAGATAATAAAAAATTTAATTGAACTATTTTTGTTAGTCATTTCTGAAGGATCTAATTAGTAGCAAAATCTTTCCGCCTCGGCCTAGAAATCACATGTGAAGACAAATGCCTAGCTATTATAGTTCTTAAGGAAAAACCTGTATCGCATTAAAAAACTATATAGTAAAACAGGGTTGCTCAGCTATATTTAGCCAGATTTTTAAAATATGACGACGCAACCCAATGCATGTTGCTTACTGTTGCATGATGGAGTAAGTAATGTTTTTGTTTTCCTGCTTAATTGCCTAATCAACTAACTTTGCAGCCACAAAGATAGCCAAGAGTTCTGTGGAAAAAAAATTGTTGATCTATTTTCAAAATGCCTGATTAGATAGTTTGATGCCTTATCTATAATTATTAAGGCCAAACCTCATAACCGCGAAAATGCTCACGACATCGACGAGGGACGCGACGTAGATCGCCTGCGTGCAAACAGTCGCTAGCGCAGGCAAACCTCATTCACGCGACAGCTTCGGCGAGCGAACTCCACTGTTGCTGGCGTGAGGCCGTCTACTCGTACGAAGAAAACCGCGTAGTGAGCTGTATGCAATTCAAAAATAAGATATATTGTTGTGTGATGGAACGGAAAGTGTTTATTATTGCCTTGCAGCACTTTTTTTTATGTGCATGCGTGACTCGGGCGGAGAGGCGAGTGAAAGGAGGTGGCAATTTCGCGGCACATGAGGAGAACCGGCAGTACGTCATTTATGTACATCCTTTTCGGTGCCTTGACCACAGCACTTCCGGGCGATGGGCGACGGTTTCCAAATCTGGAGAACCGAGTGATCGCGCGAAAACTACTATGCGACATGTCATGCGAACGCCCCGTTTCGTCGCTCATAGCATTGCTTGTCGCTGTCGCGTGCATTTTCGCGTTTATGAGGTTTGGCTTTTTGTGTTTTTCTTCTGATGCCCTGCTTGAGTGTCTAGGCAAGCTATGATTGCAATGCTGCCTTACGTTCTGTGTACAAACGATATGCTCCCCTCACAAGAGGTCGTGACAGCGATAAGCTTGTCGCTTGTGTTGCCACTTGTAAAACCTGTCATCGCACTGCCACCACCATCATCGCTGTCCTGTCGAGGCAGCACACACGGCCAAGTTCTGTGTTCATTTGCACGTGGGATGTTAGGGAGCACTGTAATCATGGCACAAAAGTGGATATTCTTTTCTATTTTGCAGACATCTGTAGTAAGCAGAAAAAGACTAATAGATGACAGATATAAAGTTGGCAACTGTCTAATTGGATATTTTACAAGCTGATCTACCACTTTCTCATTGGATTCTTTCCACAGAGAGCGAGAAAACATTTTATTAACTACATTTAAGCAAAGCATGTGGGAAGGAACCCTAGTTCGTGTTCCCAATGACGATCTCGGCGACCAACATCGCACTGCCACCACCATCATCGCTGTCCTGTCGAGGCAGCACACACGGCCAAGTTCTGTGTTCATTTGCACGTGGGATGTTAGGGAGCACTGTAATCATGGCACAAAAGTGGATATTCTTTTCTATTTTGCAGACATCTGTAGTAAGCAGAAAAAGACTAATAGATGACAGATATAAAGTTGGCAACTGTCTAATTGGATATTTTACAAGCTGATCTACCACTTTCTCATTGGATTCTTTCCACAGAGAGCGAGAAAACATTTTATTAACTACATTTAAGCAAAGCATGTGGGAAGGAACCCTAGTTCGTGTTCCCAATGACGATCTCGGCGACCAACCTGGCCCGTTGAACTAAGGCCTGGCGGACCTCGGGATGCCCGTCGCAGACAGCATCGTCCCACAGCTCTTTGGTGCGGAAGGGGTGGAGGATAACGGGAAAGGGGAGGAAATTCACTGCGTCAAAAGTTAGTTAATTAAAATTTCTATTTAGACAATTAAGAAAGAAAAGAAAACTCTAGTGACTTGTTTCGTGGCATAGTTATCAGCATGCGTTTGGTTGCATCATCATAGATTGCTTCAGCGTCTGACTAGAGACAACTGGGGCATCCAGTACATAGACACTCTCACGTATTTTTGAACCCACTCACGCAGAGTTTGAACTTGATGTAACAGAACCCAAATTTACGAATATCCCGATCTTGCAAAGAAATTTTCATTCCCTCACAGGCACCCATATGGTTCAATGTTTCATCAACTAGAATTAATGAAGCTTTCATAGAACTTGTCTCAATTTAACGGAATCGTTTTGGAAATAAACAAGTGACAATGCAATATTTCCTGTCCAATTTTTATAAAGGTGGCTTTTTTTTTATGCGTTCTGTAAGCTATTGTATTAGTACAACATTTGCCACCCTAGTCATGACACTAGTTTTATTTTGATGAGGCTGCATGCCACATTCTGTAGCGCTTTTACATATGAAAATACTCTGGGCGGTACTGGTTTGTTATTCCTGCAAATACTTCCACATGAACGCGGTGGTCGCTTTTGTTTATTAAGGGTTTATGTGACAGATGGCACTGATCCTCTCCTTGGAACTTTCTTGCTCTACCTGCTCGCAAATCAACTGCATTAGTTCTTGTCTGAATGTCGGCAGCTTGTCGTAGCTTCATGTGGCCATCTACCTTGCCTGAGTCCCCAAGGCTTGGGAGTAATTCCTGCTCGCACTACCCTCGCTAACTTTTTCACATACGCAAGCATGTATTACTTGCAAACAAAATGCCGCAGTGGTTTCGGGTATCTACATTACAATTGTAGATTTCGTAGAACTAAAAATATTTTTCTCAATTTTATTAACCTCCTGATTTAACAAAGTAATTCGAGTGCCCCCATCACTTTGGTAAATTAAGTTTCAAGTGTGTGTGTGTGTGTGTGTGTGTGTGTGTGTGCGTGTGTGTGCACGTGTGTGTGTGTGTGTGTGTGTGTGTGTGTGTGTGTGTGTGTGTGTGTAAAGGGGTGAGGGAGTGTAAGTTATCGTGTTATTGTTATTTACTTATATCAAAGCAAGGCTGACTATTTCATATTGTATCGGTTGATTTAGGAAAGCGTCTTTCTTACTTAGCAAGGAATGTGTCGCACTGCTAAGCCAGCGTGAATGCATACTAGCATGATGTGGAAAAGAAATAAGACAGCAACGAGTTTTATGCACGCCATTGTGTGTGGTCATTTCTTGTTCTTTTGCACGAAGGAAGTGCTAGAAATTAGGACTCCGATGTAGAAAAAAAAATCTCAGGACTTGGAGAACATGATTGCTGAATTTCAGTATTCTTAAAAATTAATAATAGTAGCTTAGTGTCACAACTGCTTATGGACTTTGTAACAAGCATAAAATTTGAGCTGAAGTGTTTCTTCTAGAATAAGGTGGCATAGTATATGAAATTGATATAATACAAACATGTGTACTGGCAAAAGTTGTAGCATGTTATGTCTGGTGCATTATGATGGTTATTTCTATTACATGTTTTACTCAGTAGAAACACTTCATCTGCAGGGAAACAAAGCAAGGCAGCACCCCAGGAAGCTGGAAGTGGTGAGGAAAGAAAACAAGAAAATGTGGAAGACTATGAAATGGCTGCTCTGCCTACATTTGGAAGGTAAGCATTGGGTTCCTATATGCCAAAGTTTTCAAGTCAGAATGGCCCCGCCGCGGTGGTCTAGTGGCTAAGGACCTGCGGCTGCTGACCAGCAGGTCGCGGGATCGAATCCCGGCTGCGGCGGCTGCATTTCTGATAGAGGCGGAAATGTTGTAGGCCCGTGTACTCAGATTTGGGTGCACGTTAAAGAACCCCAGGTGGTCGAAATTTCCGGAGCCCTCCACTACGGCGTCTCTCATAATCATATGGTGGTTTTGGGATATTAAACTCCACACATCAATCAATCAAATCAAGTCAGAATGTAACCACACACTGTTTTGGATTCGTACGGTAAATAAATTCACGATGGGGGTGAAACTGTAAGCTGCTGTTCTTCCCAAAAAACTTTTAAAACTAGGCCAGTAGAGACACCTTAACAAAATAAAGGTGTGATTTTTCAAATGCTAGTAATAAACATTTTGCATATCTTGTGAATATTGCCACATAAGTAAAGCATCCTGCAGTTCCTTTATACACTGGAAACTCTTCCTGAGTGTACACTTCAGTAACCTGAGAACTGAAGTGCCATCATATTTCTGTTGGTGCCCAAGTGGAATAAACAAGTTACTAAAGAAAGACCAAACTATTTTGTCATTCTAAGTATGCCTTGGCTGGATTGCCGATTCATTTAGCTGTTTTTTAAAGATATTAAAATGTGAATTCCAGCATTTGTTTATCTGATTAAGAAACTGCTAAATAATATTTCTGTACAAACAGCAAATACCCTTACATTTTGTCTGAAGTATGGTGGTGTGCAAAACAATCAACCCAGACCTGTGCTTGCTTCTGCCAAAGTGTACCCACAAACATCTTAATCTTATCTGGATACTTAACTGTCTGTCTTCCCCCTTACAGATTGGCCTTCTTTTAGAATCCAGTCAGTTGCCCTTAGTGACCAGTGGTTATCTTGTATATGGATTATGTGCCCAACCCTGATTCTTGATTTTAACTTTGATATCCTTAACACTTGTTTGTTCCCTGACCCACTCTACTCTCTTCCTGTCTCTTGAGGTTACCCCTATCATTCTCTTTTTTATTGCTCGCTGTGGTTTACTCACTTCAAGTTGAACCTTGTGTATAAGCCTCTTAGTTTGTGCTCTTTCTCTATTGCCTGTGTTTAATAAATTTGTGCATTTCACTTATCTTTACTGACAGCTGCATAGTCTGGATGGTCTCTTTTGTGCATGTTACACTTCCAGGGAATGCACACCCAGAAATACCCAACAAAGTAGACAAGGAAACACTCTTTATCAAAGCTGAATTGGTGGAGCATTAGACGCATCGTTTGGAGGTTGTGGGTTAGGGCCTCATCGATGGAAAGGGTGTTTTTTTCATCTACATAAATTTCAGCTTGTGTCATAATTGCTACACCACAGCTGAAAGCAACAAATAATATATCCTATGCTTTCTTGGCTTAATTGTCTGTTGGGTTCATTTGATTGTGTTTAACAAAGCAATAAGCCTTTCAAACAATATCCCGTCTGTCATTTTTTCATGCAAGTATTGTGGACTTGTCAAGATTTTTCTTCTCTGCTTCATTGGTTTAGCGTAACACTGGCACAATAATTTGGAGCAGGGCAGGTTGACTTCCACATTTAATAAGAAAAATTATTTTAGCGGCAGCCTATGCCACCAGATCGTCCATTACTGTGCTTGTATATAATGCATTTGAAAATGGTATATTGGAAAATATTTGCTAGATACAACTCCCTCCAATAACAAAATCTTTTACATAATCCTCAATAGGTGTTGCAAAAAACATCTAAGCACATATTTTGAGGTACCCGCTGGGATGGTCTAGTGGCTAAGGCACTCGGCTGCTGACCCGCTGGTCGCGGCATCAAATCCCGGCCATCGCGGCCGCATATTTGATAGAGGCAAAAATGTTCGAGGCCTGTGTGCTTAGACTTAGGGTCACGTTAAAGAGCCACAGGTGGCCAAAATTCCCGGATCCCTCCACTACGGTGTTTGTCATAATCATATGGTGGTTTTGGGACGTTAAAACCCAATAATTATTATTATTACTTACTTTGAGGTCTCAAATACCACTTAATTCAAAGTATTTGCGTGGTCCCATGTTTTTAAATGTAAGTGTGATTGGATAATTTGAAGCGGCAGTCAGCACCAGTCTGGTTAATTCAAAAACTTTGGGTGCAGGTGTGCAAATTGCCAATCCCGATTTCGCCACAAAACCACGGGAATGGCAATCTTAAGAGCCACTAGGTAATATACTTAGCAACACTAATGAGTGGAAGCTAAAGCATGCCAACCTTGATACTTCCTGCTTAAGAAAATAAAGTTGTAAAAAAATGGTCCTTTGATTACTTACATCAAAATGTGCGCCTGCGGAAAATAGGTCATGGTTCGCTGCAACACAGCGGTGACGCACGGCCAGCTTGTTGCATGCGTCTCGCAAAGTCTGTGAGGCATGATTTACCCAGTCTTTCTGAAAATATAAAGAAATTATTAAAGGACAGTGGAAAAATTCGCGATCTATGCAAACCTCCGAGTGCCGCTTGCTCCAGAAATTTCCACACTTGCACTACTGGCAGAGTTATTGCCTGCAACGCCTACATTGAAAACTCGGTTCAAAAGCTTCAATCATCATGTTTTTCAGCTAAAACACATCACGAATTTTGTCACACTGTCTAGTATTAAATTTTTTGTTTTACTAAAGAGTCGGGCGGATTGTCGTAACATGATATGCTGTGTCTTATTTGTCGCAGGCACGCATTTCAGATGACAATTATTGTTTTCTTTTTTTTTTTTTTCGCTAGCAGCGGCGAGGCTCGACGTTCCTCCTTGTTTGGTTGAAATTTCGACCTGGTATTGCTATAAAACATAGCCCTTGGAGCCGCAAACTACCCGGCACAGCAAACGGTCAGCCTTGATTACTTTTTCCACAGGGGCGTCAGTGTAAGCAGGCGTTTGGTGTGTGGCAACACTACGGACCCGAGCCAACAAGGGGTTTCCACTCCCTCCCACGCGTTGCGGTGCGTGGCTTAGCCGTGTCCGGGGAAAGGGGGTTGAGCCAACGCCGGGTAATAGGACTGCTAAGGCCCCCTGGCTGAGGCAACACACCCCTTTGGCCCCAGCTTCACTTAGATGGCACTGCTGGGCTGACCCACCCAGGGGAAATCGGCAGTTGCCTTTTCCTATCTACTTCTCCCTTTTTTACTTCCAATTTTTCCTCCCGGCAAGGGTTAACCTTGCCTATGTGCTCAGTGTTGGGCACAGTTGGCATGCCTCATACAATTTTAGGACCTGTTACGTCTCCTTGTTGGGCTTTATGGTGGGCGGCTGGCATGGCTGCCGAAATTACAACTATTTTATGGCTTCTACTTCTTTCCCTCCATTCCACGATCATCCTCTCTCGAAGAGAGGGCGCACCGAAGACATTTTCAATTATATCAATAGACCGAAAGAAACTTTCCTCGTTACCATGTAATTCATTGTGAAACTGCCGAAAAGAACGCCAGAACAATTTCGCCTTTTGTTGTCTCTAAATGCCTCACCACTACACTTGGTTCGGGTTATCAGGCTACAAAAATGGCCATTGGGGATCTCCTCCTCGAAGTAAAAAAGTCAGGCTCAATATGAAAACCTCTCAAAACTATAATAATTTGGAAACACCCCTATCTCAATTACACCACACCATTCCCTTAACAGTTCCGGAGTTGTTGTGTCTGATCAAGACTTGCTCGGCCTGACTGAAGGTGAGCTCCTCGAGCGTTGGAAGGACCAGCAGGTGACACAAGTACCAAGTAAAAATCAGGCGTAATAATAAGGAAGTCCCAACAAAACACCTGATTGTGATATTTTGCACCAGTATCCTTTCTGAATTTCTCGAAATGGGCTACTTGAAGTTGAATGTGCAACTCTACATCCCGAACCCACGGTGTTGCTTTAAGTGCCAGCGTTTCGGTCACGGCTCTCAGAGTTCCCGCGGCCGTGAAACCTATGCCAAGTGTAGTTCAGATGATCACCCTGCAGGCAACTGTGAAGAAGCTCCCCACTGTGGAAATTGCGACAATGGACATCCAGCGTATTCCCGAGCCTGTCCCACATGGAAAAAGGAAAAAGAAGTCTTTACTTTGAAGGTGACAGAAAACATTTTATTCAAGGAGGCGTGAAAACTCCTTTCTTCTGGTCAGGGTCCTTCATTCGCAGACGTGGGACGCAAGGGGGCAGTGCCACAAAAGTTCACGGCGTCCGCACGTACCACACACATTGGACGGGCGGCAGCGCTTTTCGCCCCCTCAGTGGAAGCAGCAGCCAATGCTGCTCCGTCACTACGAAGCATGCAGACCCCTAGGACCTGCATGCACGGTATCTATGTGCAGGCGGAGTGTCCCAAAAATCCAACACCCGCACGTGTAACTCACGAGCGGACATCCAGCGCCTCTGCCAAGGCGATGGACACAACAGCAACTCCAGTGGCACTTCAAGTGCTAAAGGACTGGTGCAGCTCGTTGGAGTGCACAGAAAAGCAAAAATCACCATAACGGGGCCCAAGAAGGGCTCCCAAACTTGAAGTAATACTTCTTGCAGTACACACAGCATTTATTTACACACAAAATGGAGATTCAAATATTACAGTGGAACATCAGAGGACTGCTCAGAAACCTCGATGACATCCAAGAACTTTTACACAAACATTTGCCAAAAGTGCTGTGTGTACAAGAAACACATTTAAAATCCAAGAACATGAACTTTCTGTGCCACTACGTTATATTCTGAAAGGAAAAGGATGATGCTGTTGCATCATTTGGTGGCGTTGCCATAATTGTTGACTAAGGAATTGCATGCTCACACTTACCGTTTCAATGTGCCTTGAGGCAGTGGGTGTTCAAGCCATCCTTTTTCGATAAACTTATCACTTTTTGCTCTCTTTACACACACCCCCCCCCCCCCCCGGCATCAGCTCCAAAAACATGAATTCCAGGCCCTAATAGATGAAC